TAACGTTGAACTCGGTCAATATATATAATTATAATATCTATGAAAAAAATTCATAAAATTTAACGGCGGTTAATTATACGACGCACAGATAGATGAATAAAGCTAGTCACTGATGTAAATCGTATATTCTTTGATCGTATTTTATTTGAAAATTACAGCAGATTACTACAAATGAACCATAATATATCATTTATTGTTGTATAAAACTTGACTGCAGTCTTAAAAGATTATAAAGGAAAAAATGTAAAAAAATATGCAAAATTATGTGAATTAAAAGATACGTATACTCGAGCGATTATCATTTCATCATCAGCAGGAGACACATACTGCGGCCAAGAAAAAAAGGAAGATGGAAGGTTCGCGCGCAGCGGCACGAGCTAAAAGCATGTATATGTCGCCGAAGCACGGAAGAAGGTAGCACGAGAGCTCAGAAAACAGCAACGCGCATACACACATACATACGCGTATGAACAGACGCACGCATGTATACGCGTGGAATGATTAATAAAGATGCACGAGCACGCATGTCACCGGATATGAGAGAGAGAGAAAGAGAGACGATATTGTGCCTTGCTGGACTTTACCATCGTCGTCGCGAACCGTTGCCCTTTTCTCTGTCTGTCTTTTCACCTCTTCTCTTGCTTCATCTTACACACAGTATATATATGTAGGAGAAGAGGTTCTTGATCTAACTCTGCTTTACTTCGCAACGCTATATATATGTAGCTCGGACGAGCCGCGCACGTCAGGTAAGGTCACTTTCGCTTTTTATTCTCTCTCGCTCGCTCTCTTCGTAAATTGCTTTCGGTAATTCGATTATTTCTCTCTTCTCTTCTCGGCGTTATTCGCGAGCTTTTTAATGTGCAGCGCACGCGCCACTGTCGCAGTGCACAAACTGTGTATAATACTTGCGCGTGATGCACACACGCGACACACGTCTCCTGTACACTTGTGTTACTTTTTATTTTTACTTTCGATACTGCCCCGGTCGCATATTCTCCATATATATCGAGTCAATATTGTCATTCAATCATTATGATTCCATATTAATTGGCAAAAATGTATCGGACCCATTCTTGTTGATCTCGTTTTGCATCTTTGTTTTAATGACTTTCCTTTTCTCCTCATTTGTTGTTTGTTTTTTTTCCTTTTAAAAAAATCAACCTCTCTAACGTAAACCGGTGATCCGACGAAATACATGAAATGCCCATTGGCACACGTGTAGTTAAGAGCTCGATCGAGCTTTACTTTTCGACGCGGCAAGATTGCAGACGCGTGTTTCGTGTTTATAATGCCCTGCGCGCAAAGAGTCTGTAAAAGTCGAGCATTTTTCCGTCCGTTCGATGCACATATACACGGCACGTATATGTACGTGAATAAGGCGCGTAAAACGGAGCTTTTGTAATCTCACCTGGCGCTTCTCCCAGACATCTTCTCGTATAAGTGAGGTGTATATATAAATGAGATATTTTTTGGTTCCGACGATGCACTTCTTATATCGATTTTCGCTGTTCGTTTTCCACTACATATAATACTCGCGTCCTCGTGCACCAGCCGCGGCGATCTTGATTTGGTTTCTTCGAACTTGATGCATAGAAAAAGAAAAAAATCGAGCCTTATCGCATCGAGAAAAAAAAATGAGAAACAATTCATCGCTCTGATCTATGTAACGCTTATAATATGTTAGTCAGTTTTGCGCGAATTCATAAAAAGTAGTTCAACGATTGAAATGACAAAGGTCGCTCCTGAGCTTTTTTAACTAGATGATTCACGGATACGTATGGAAATCGAGCGATGAAAAAAATTGCGCTTGCACACAATGGAAGGACAACGAAAAAAGCCAATCATCGCACGGATTGCTCAGAGCTCTATTGGAAACTAGGACGCATGTTAATTAATATCTATGCAAGATTTCGTGCGCGTGCGACAGGTCACGAATCTCGACAAAAGAGAAACAGCTCGACAAATAAAATAGCTGAAAAAAGCAGAAATGCGAACCCGGAGAGGATGGTTCGACGCGAGGAGGGAGGTAAAAAGAGAAGCTGCAGCAGCGGATAGTAGTGAAGTGCAGAGGACCCACAGGGCCGGAAGATATCAGCGAGCGAGAGCCGAGACTGTTTGGCATTCGGGCGTGTGCATCATACGAGAGCGAGCGAAGCAGCAAAAGATATCACATGCATATAATACAGTTCTTTACTAAGCATGCACTGCTTGGGCGACTCGGTCGTGGCGCATGCATGCGAGCTAGGAGGAAGAGGAGGAGGAGGAGGAGGACAAGGAGGAGGGGACGGCACGGCACTCGAGGCGCTATGTGGCAATAATAATCGCCATGTAGCACATATATACCGACGAATACTTTATAATAATCTGCCTGGCCACATCGCTAAAAGGCGGTGTGACTTTTCCACACGCAGGCGCGCGCCCGCGCGCGGGTGGTAAGTTTGATTTACGGCCCAACAGAACGAGAGAGAGAGAGAGAGAGAGAAATAAAACTCGTGCAATGATAGGCTTTCGATAGACCGCGAAGAAAAAAAAGAAAGAAGGAAAAGAGATGAATTATAATATTATAACGTGCAAATCGAAGATTTATATCGTCGATATTCTCTCTATATCTCCTCTGCAGAACAGATCGAAAATAATTTCCCAAAACTTGCGACGCGATTTTCGTATATGTTATAAAACAATTGAACTTTATATATTATACATAATTTAGGCGTGTGTACGTATATATCTTCACAGCAGTGTGCCATTCAATGCCGGTATCCGATTTGAGAGCCGTTAACGACTCAATTCGCAATTTGCAGCCTATTGATAAGAAAAGGATGGATTTATAAATAGCAACAGCTGCAGCCTCAGAAGCAGCTATACTCCTGCATGCGAATGTGAGCATAGCAGTGTGCATTGGCAGCTCCGTAGATATATTTCGTGGCGTGTTCGTAATCGCTACAGCTGATTGCTGCAGCTCCGTCGTAATCGTTCGACAGTAATTCAAGCCCCGATCCAACCACGAGAGCTCTCGTTTTTCTTTTCGTGTCTCTCCTTTTTTTCTTTCTCTCTCTCTCTCTCTTTCTTTCGTCGAAGTAGCTCTTCTTCTTCTTCTTCTCCCTCTGTTTCTTTTACTCGGCGCGACGCTCTGCCGATAAGCGATAATCAGCGAGAAAAAGAGCGAGGAAGAGAAGCTGCGCACTTGTGCAAGTTGGAATTTCGTAAAGATATGTTTAGAGCCTCAGAGTATGTATTTAGGTGAGTGTATAAAGTTCAATAAAGTTGAAAACTAGCATGATACTAAGTTTTATCGCAAATTTTATTATCTATATGATTATGTGCTATTTGACAGGCAATAAATTGTTAAAAGATTGATAGAAATACTCATCTTTAGCTATTATAAGAAGTTGACCACTCGAAAAAGGGCAATTTTAAATACAAAACCAAATTAAAATAGAAATAGTGAACGAATTAAAGAGAGAATTTTTGGGCATCTTTGCAAGTAATAAATTAAATTTAAGTTGGGCGCAAAAAATGCAACTTATTTAACACCTGATCAAAACATAAAAATTAATATACAAAATCAAAAAAATCAATGATCGAACAAATTATACGTAAAATAAAACTGTAAAAAAGATTCGAGAGAAACGACCCTCACCGCTTTACCAATACACAAGTTACCAGTCGAACGAAATACAGGCAAGCAACTCGCTAATCCCTAATCGAGTTTATAACGCGCGCCGCTATACAAGCCCATGTACATACATACTTACAACGCCGAAGGAGTAGCAGCAGTAGCAATATAGAAGTGTATACCGTCGAGCCTGCACCCATCGAGGATTTCGTAACGATTCCTGAAGGCGCGAGGCAAAGGCGCGCATATCTCTCCTGACCCAACTATACACGAGCTGCAGCAACAGCAGCAGCAGCAGTCGAGGAGCTTCGCTGCCTTGGCGCGAGCTGCAGCGGCAAGGTGAACGCTCCGGTTTCGTTAATGTACTCGCGCCGCGTGATCGAGCGCGCATACAATCGTATATGGCTCCTCGATCGCACCTCTTCCAAGTGTGTATGCATCGACTTTGAGATAGATTTTTTTCTTTCGCGCGGAGTACACTGCGCATGCACGGATCGCGACCTTGATTCGAAAACATGATCTAGAACGTATAGTCGTCGCGGTATCGGTATGGCTCCCTCCCACAAGATATAAGAGTATACGTGCTGCTGTCTCGCGAAAAAGAGAGAGATTGAACCGTGCAGTGCAGAAGAGACAATGCTACGCTATATGTATTCAAGCTTTAAAAAGAGAGAGAGAGAGGGAGACATGGAAAAAAAAGTAAAGCAACGTAGTACCGAGAGCGTAAGCCGCCGCCGTTGCTGCTTTCCTTTCCCCGTAAATGGAGATTCCATTCACGGCTCTTCGCGTTATAATTAAAATAATAACTCTTTTCACCACCGCCCTGCATATCGCTAAATACGTATAATATAAATATACAAACGTATACCGAGCGTAGCGAGTAAAGGTAGAGCAAGGATGGTTAGCTTTCTTATTCCCACAGGTGCAGCGGCTGCACAGATGCACACGTATAACATATATCTGCTACGATATAAAGAAGTACTAGTATAGCTGCGCTGTGCGCGATTCTTAACTCGAGAGCTGCGATTTTGCTTATGTATACGTGTATACGCGGATGTTAATGCGCGGCACACGCGCGAAACAGCGATGATGTACGAGACAAAAAAATCACCCGTCCTGATTATTCCGAGTCGCTTTTTCCTCCTTCTCCTCCTCCTCCTCCTCTTCGTCATCGTCGTCCTCCCACTTCACCCACTCGCAAGGGGAAAAGAAAATTACTGGACTGCGCGATGACGTCGAACGCGCGCAATAATTAGTGGAAAGCGACTTTGGCATAAATTCGCCTATACGGCATCTATACGAAGTTTACAGAGGTTTGCTAACGAAAAAACAGCCCCGACAATGTATGTTCAATTATTATATATTTATCGGATTCACTTACCGAGCATTTTGCTGAGATCGGCGTTGTGCAGATCGGGATTCTCGTCGGCCAGCTTCTTGCGCTCGACTTTGGCCCAGACCATGAAAGCGTTCATGGGCCTGCGTATGCGCTGCTCCTTGAGATTTCGGGCAGCGGCGGCGGCCGAGGCAGCTGCGCCACCGGCGCCGTGGCACATCTTCACTGGACCACCCATCGGCCCGCCCAGCGACTGCTGGTAGTCCTGCAGCGTCGGCCCGGAGTTCAGCCACGACATTTCCTCGAGTCGCTGTTGCTGCTGCTGCTGCTGTTGCTGGCTGCTTAGCATGCCTGGTATCTGTAAGTACAAACGATACAATTTTATAACTATAAACTGGTGAATTTTCTCAACTTTCAGTTTATTACATATGTTTTTTTTTCAGTTTTGTTCATCACTACTCGGAAAAAATTTTAATGTATTAAATATTTCACATTTATTTAATACTACGATACTAATTATTTTTGTAGCTCCGCCTTTCAAAAACGTAATTTTAAAAATTACTATGCAACATAATAAATATTATCCAATAGAAAATATAGAGTTTACTGTAGGAAAATATGATGATTAATATTTCAAAATGCGTTTTGTATTGTAACAAGATTTATCTTAATCAGAACTTTTTGATTCTACCAATAGATGGAGTATTGTAAACTTGCAAGTGGCAACATATTGTTTCCAAATTGTATATATGTGGCGACGCACTTCAAAGCGTTCGCAGTCTAGGAAGATTTTATTGAGCCTCAGTTTGGTTGCGACAGTCACAGAGAAAAGATCTCAATAAATTCTATAACCGCTGTTCAATAATTTATTGTAGTTTCATTACGTATCACTACATATATATGATAGTATGTCTTCCCACGAGTATACGAGCGTAGAATTTGTTTTACACATGTAACATTAACTTTTATCAATGAAAAATCCAATTGCCAAATGGAAAACGATATTGAATAACTTGTTGCGTACTCTTTCACTCTTTGCTGAATACTTATATGGAGCTCATATTTACCGGTATGATTTGCGTGTCCATGGACATGGGACTGTCGTTGCCATCGATGCCCGAGTCGATGTCGAAGGGCCGCGACTGCGCGGACGACGGCGTCGCGTAGATGGACGAGTGCAGCGCGAGCAGCCCCGGCGAGCCTGCGTAGCCGCCGGGAGGTGGTGTCACCTCTCCACGCTCGTAGCTCTCCAGCATCCTGCGAAAAAAAAAGCGAGAAAAAAAAATGAGTTTTGAGGAAATTATGAAATGTAGATGCAGGATAACGCATGTATATTATCAGCACGAATCGACCGGTTGCGGTTGAGAAAATGTTTTTCATTTGTAACAATAAAAAAAAGGGGGTTTGGTATATCGAGCGAGTCATAAAACAAAATGATAAAAACGTGATCGACCTAGATGCTATTTCATCATTGCCATGAGCTCGGCGCGGCTTTCGATCGAGACCAATACAGTTTAGATTGTGGAGCTGCAATGTGTATCAAGCTGTTCAAGCTGGGATAAACGTGAGACGTATAGTTCAAGTACACACTGCGCCGTGCGACTTGTATCAATCATTGCTATCGTTCAGCGGGCCAATTTTATATGAATAATTATTGTCGTTTACCGATTGCCACCTCTGATGCTTCGGAAAAGGACTCGATTATTATTATTATTATTTAATAGCTACTATTATGTATCTCGTTGAGTATTCTTTACAGAAGTTTGCCGGTCTAGCCGAACATACACATTACACACTTCGAGTCCCTCATTACACTCTCAATCAGGCGCAGTTGCAACTTTTACATCGAGTCTATATTTGCAGGCGCGCACGCGACAGCCCCCTCTGCCACTGTAAAATAATAAAGTACCGATGTGTATATAATATATAAGCTACCGCGTGCGCGCGAGCCGATGATCGAATAAGCAAAGAAAGAGCCGAGTCAAAGTGAAGCCGAGCGTGCCGCGTTTATATATATACGGCTGCGGTTCGAGCGTGCGCGAGACGGAGTAATTGACTTTGGACGAGCTGCAAAAAATGCTCGAGATGAGAGAGAGAGAGAGAGAGAGAGCTTGGCACGAGCCATCGCACGGCTGATCGTTTCGTTGCTGAAGATATCGCCTGAACGGTATGAAAGAGAGAGAGAGAAAGAGAGAAGCGGTAATGGCTCTTGCGCTCTGTTTGTAGCGTCTTTCAAGAAGAAAAAAGATAAATTGCACAGGGTTTAAGAAAGAAAAACGCGATAGGATAAGCTGAGATCGTTTGATCAATCGTCGATCTGTTTCGCTGCGCCGATATTTCATCATTCATTAGTCATTTCACACTTTTTGTAACATACTTTGTACATATTGGAGCCCTGGAAGTACGAGCCATTTTTTCCTTCCATGCCATGTAAAAGAAAAACTGCGATTGGACGTATCGCGAAAACAAATACCTGCGTGTACATGGAAAAGAAAAGACACATTCGTAAGCTCGACAGGCGATGCACACAGTAGCCGCGGCGCACGACGAGCGCGGCCAGCAAAGAAAGAAAAGCGGATGCAACAGGAAAAGGCGCATGCATCAAGAAGCAGAAGCAGAAGCAGCAGCATCCGTTGACTAGTCGACGTGTACACGCATCGGCACGATCGGCAAAGTCTCGAACGAGAGAGACAAACGGAAGAAACTGACGTTAAAGGAAACTCCGCTACCACTATACAGGACTACCTATCCTGTACACTGTCGTTTTCTATATGGCAACATATATACCCAGCCTGCTCCGATCGGTAGCGAAAAACGAACGAAGCTGGGAAGAAAAAGGATCGGAAAAAGCCGCGGCGAGGATACGGCCGAGCGGTACAACGTACGGACACGATATATCGCCGAGCGACAGAAAGCGAGAGAGAAGCGAAGGTATATATAAGCGAGAGAGGAGGAAGAGAGCTCGACGTCGCGCCGATTGATCTGTCAACCCCGTCGCTCAAGCTCCTCTCTCGGGATCGCGCGCACACGACGACGATCGCATCGAGCGAGTGCAGGCTCGAGCATGAATGAATCGCCCAACTCGCAGCAATGTCTGTGTGTCTGTGTGTATGCAGTGTGTAACCGAGCAAGGCCGTCTATCGGAATTCCCACGATTGTCCTCTCTTTATACATACACTTACATACGACAATGAATATTGTTCGCCAATATGCGTGTCTGCAGCCTATAATATGTACGCGTGTGCTCGAATATATATACAGCGATGGCTTTCGCGTTGCTACTGGCTTTTTGCTACGGCGACCGTCCAGCACGTGGCAGCTTCGATATCGAGGCGTATCGGTAAATGTCATTGCTATAGCATCGATGCCTTTTTCATCGCCCAAATTATCTGCGCGTGCTTGTTAATTCACACGCACAATGACAATGATTACCACTATTTGATACTTGATCGTGAAATTCGCGTGTGAAGCGTGCGAGATTGCGAGCTTTAACTCAGCATGCCACTTTCACACTTGTACATTTGTAAATATTCAATTATAATACCATCCAAGGACGAAAATCACGCGGAGTATTTAAAAGCTGGCAACTGCTCACACACACACACACAAACGCAGACACTCGTACCAATTAATGCTGTAGCCAAAATATCATCGTCCTATCTTTTACTCTCTCTCGGTTAATTAAGCTCCGGCGTACGATGCTACAGCCGTGCTCCTACACTACTCGACGAGCAATCACTGAATCATTCCACTTCTCTGTGTTTGCGCACCTACTCAACTTTTTCGCGAGTATTAGCAGTAGTGGAGCACAGGTTGAGTGTGTGGTCTGTGTTACATTGAGCAGCTGCAGGCCGCGCGCGTGGCGTTGCACGAGCGATTCACGTGTGAAACGACTCTCTCTCTCTCTTTAAAGCTTCTTTTTCCTTCTTTTCTCTCTCTCTCTCTCGCTCGCTCGATGCCTTTTTTTTCTTGCCTCTCTTCAAACACGGTTAGCAGGCCTCTTATATAGCAGGTATATAATGCTCCACATAATAGCCATTGTTTGTTTTTACTATACACATATATAGCCGTGGCGCAGAAAGAGAGGCAGGCAAGGTGCACACGATCTAGACGGAGCGAGAGAGAAAGAGAGAGAGAACTGCTATGAGTGGAAGAGAGAGAAAGATCTGGCTGATGGGTGGCAAAAACGTGGCGCGTGACCGTCGTATATATAAACACAACTTCTATCTACTACAGGCAGCAATGTGGGCTCTTTGCGCGCGGACACGCGACTCCTGTGCTGCGCGTGAGCGCCAACTCCTCTCTCTCTCTCTCCATCTCTCTCTTTTTTCTGTTTGTTTTTCTACCTCCAAAGTTCTACCGCTGTGCGGACCTAAAGTTTTTAGAAATGTTTGTATTTCCTTTTGATATAACGTATGTACAGCTAGTAATTTTAATGGTTATCTAATGGCATCGATCATTGGATATAAAACGTGATATTTCTGCAGTTATAATTATCCAGAACGAGCAGTAGCTAATAAAATTTTATGAACATCATTAATCGATTTTATTGCCGAATGCGAAAATATACAACTTTCGAGAATATTACCGAACTAAATGCGCAGGAGCATTACTTGCATGTTTTATCTTGTAAAATATATAACTCATTAAATCGAGTAATTAGTAGATGTATTTAACGAAATTTAGAGTCAATGAACTCTTCAAGATTTGACCAACTTATTTTTTGCATAAATTTAATTCGATCGAAATTATAAATGCAAATTTCAATTTGTACGTCGATTACCGATTCGATAAATACCAACGTTCTAACGACAGGATATCCGTATTGAACATGGATATGCCAAATTTATAGCAATTTGAACGTTAATCAAGTTCTAATAATTTTCTCAAATCAACTACATAAAAGTCTAAAAACTATAGCAACCATCATCATAAAATTGTTCTGTTTTATAATATAAAATGAAATTGTCAATCGTGTCGAACGAGCATGTAAATATTACGCTTGAGCATATTTACGCGCGTCGGGTTACTCGATTCGCTAATTTAATAACAAATCATAATGATCGTCGAGGCCTTAGACTCACGGAAAATCGCGCGTATACACGTAATTAGCAAAATTTCATTTACAAGCGTATAATATAAACAAGCGTGTAGAAACACGACTGTTACAAGCAACGGCAGAAATCTATTTAGTATACGCGTGAATTATTATATACAAGTGAAAGCTCCGCTGCGTGAGTCAAAGTTTTAATTGACTATAAGAGACTATAAGCTGAGACGATAAACGGGTCTATGTGAGTGCGTATATAGATACTCCTGGACTCGCAATCATGAATGAAACGCACGCGTATGAGCTGTACACTTGCCTTTTCACTCGGTTAATAAGACGAAAAGGCGAGGAAATGATAAAAAAAAGAAACGAATAAAAATGCAGGCCCAGAAATGCATATTATAAGTATATAGGCAAGAGCGAGGCTCACCTATAATACTTGCGCGTAGTGCTTAATGAGGGATTGACTTTCGAAATCGCGCCAAACGCCTACTCGCGTACATATACATACGATGTTGCGCGAGCTTTAAAGCATTTTTGAGAACCGATCCGCTCAGCCTATTGTATGTTTGTGTGCGTTTACTTTCGGGCGAGACGAGACGCTGAACAAGTTGTGCAATTTTCTTTGTGCTCGCGCGCGCGCCTCGGAGCTGCCACTTCCCCCAATTATAAATTGCAATTCGGTAAATAAAAAAAAAGAAAATAAAAAAAAAAAAATTACAACACGTTACACGCACGCCTGACTCGGTAATGTAGTAATATTCAAATTTGCCGTTGCGACTAAACACATCCTTACTCGAGCATGCGCTATTGTATATACGCAGAGCGAGGCTAAGCTTTACTACATGAGTATATTTCGCTCGAAACAGCGTTATTTTACAGTATTTCATAGCTAAAAAAGCTTCGAAGAAGCATTATCTACACGAGGTTGACCAAGTACCGTAGCCGCGCGAGAGACGCGAGCGCGTATAAATTCAGCATCGAATGCATTTCTCGATCCTCTCTCGGCTGCCAATAAACGTCAGCTCGGCTGGCAGTGGACGATAATAATTATCGGTCGGCCGCGGTGCCGCCGCTCGGCTGCACACACATTATTATGCGCGATCTTCGAGGGATGCGCCGCTTATAGGCAGAGGCTTTTCAGGCAGGTGTTATACAAAGTGAGAGGCCTCCTCGAGACGACGACGAGACGTTGACTGCGTCGTAT